GCCATGGGCTGCGGCTGCGCCAGCCCCTCCCGCTACGGGGGGTGTGGGGGGGCGAGTCTGTGTCTGTGTCCGTGTCTGTGTCTGTGTTTGTGTCTCTGTGTGTGTCTCTGTGTCTGTGTGTCTGTCTGTGTGTAGAGAGTGTCAAAGTTTTTCTGTTACGTGATTCAGGGAGGGTAGTTACAAAAAGCAGGATGTAACTGAAAGGAAAGAGGTTGCACACCTCAGAATCAAAACATTTAATAGAATAAAATAAAAAAATCTTTTCCCTAAATCTATTCTCAAACTATGGAAACATAACTTGGATTAAAACAGGGGGAAAATTACTTGTTCCGGGGGTACAGGGTAAATTTTCAAAGCAATTAAACCAGCTAGACAAAATTATCTGAAGGGTCAGACTTAACAGCCCAGGCCATCTTCCTCCTCTTTACTTCTCTGTAGAAAGCATCATAGATGGAGTCTTTGGTGACAGTTTTCGCTGGAGCTGGGATGTCCGCAATGCCATCATGATTATTTTTGGCTATCCTGGAACCGGTGGTGATGGTGTAGGCATTGCTTCTGTAGTATTTCCTGGCAGACAACAAACTTCTTTCATCCCTCTTCTGAACTTTGAATTATAGATGCAATAGAGGGCTGGCTTGGCAGCTGAAGAGCTGAAAGAGAGCCAGGTGATGTCCAGGAAAACCCAGGAGCTCTGCTGTTGTCTGTTGCGCGGAGGTGCCACAGCTGTACCACATGGAAAGGGAGCCAGGACAGGAGAAACACCACGCTCACCACTAAGAGCATCTTGATGGTTTTCAGCTTTCTTCTTGGGACAATATTCCTTGTCCCCCTGACAGCCCTGCCGTCAAAGCCTGTTCTCCAGATGTACATGATGAGCCGGTGGTAGAAGAGGATAATGAGGCTGGCTGGGATCAGAAAGACCACCAGGAGCTGGGTGATACTGTAGGCAACTCCTTGCCAAGACCCGTGGGGGAAAAAGGGGCAGTGGTGGTCACTGCTGGAGCCATAGAAGAAGAAAGCCAGTGCCACAAATCCTGCGCCCAGGAGCCAAGAGGACAGAATCATCTTCTTGGCTTTCTCCCTGAAGACTTTGAAGGTTGGGGGGTAGACAACGGTGTAGAAGCAATCAACACTGATCCAGAGGAGCATGTTTACCTGGACTCCAGGGGTAAGGTACTGCATGTACCTTACCAGCTTGCAGGTGACGTTCCCC